TTGTAGCTGTTACTGCTTTTCGCCCTACTTTTCTTCTGTGATCCTTAACAGTGTCATGTTACCCTTGTCGACAGACACCACAGGTGCAAGTTGACATAGCAAATATGATTGAAATGAAATAGCATCAGTTTTTGGGGCATTGATTAGTACACAAAGCAGCCTTCGCAAGAACTTGTGAATGGCCAGCTAGGTGAGTTTTAACTTCTGAGCTACTCGAAAACACTCTCCTTCGGGATATATCGAATGAATGTACTAGCCCTGTTCATTGGATCATAACTCATTCCCAATCCTACCTGCTTCAACCCTTCCTGTGAATGTAGTTACCTGATGGAAATTTTCGAAAGGTGCTTTTACGACTTTGAATTCTTGCATTCTCTTTCTAACCGCTGGCCGATTGTTTAAAGTGTATACTATAGCATAAAGTATAGTGAAGTATAGTATAAAGGTCGCCGGTTCGAATCTGCGTTTAGGCAGATTACTTCGCAGTATCCATAGCCCACACGCGACTGATGGTGGTTTCGTGGCTACGAAGCGTTTTGACATCCTGCTGGTTTACTACTGATGCCTCGGCTTCTCTGATGCTCCGAACTTGATTCTGCCGAGCGATTACCTTCACGGGATCCACAACACAAAACGACTTTCCGACTACGGAGTCTGGATTGACCGGGCGGACGTTGTAGACTGATATCAAGGCCATCACTTTTGCTCAATCCATATGAAGCTTGGGTCAAAGACTTATTTACGCTAGTACATGATAATTGGCAATGATAAACGGTGGGTCCATTCTCAGTCGCATCGATTTCATGTTTTGGTGAAATGTTCAGGCGGACAGTTCGGCGGCTCTGTCGCATCTCCACCGTATGTTGGATCATATGAACCCGCTCGTTATACTGGCGTCCATCTTTCAAGCCACCTGTCGCGAAGAGGTACTGTTGAAGCGAAACGAGATACCTGGATCGGATGATCATCGTGTTTGTAGTACGCTGGGCGTTGCATCGACGCTTCGCGGCCATACGACCACCCCCGGTCATGCGCGAACTTTGGACACTGCGAAGCCGCCCTCACCTATGCAGATTCTAGTTAGTGGCTTTTAAATTACAAAGCCTTACTCTTCCGGTCGTCGGTTGACGAGTTCCTCGCTAGGTGTAAGGTGTAGGTGGCTCACTGGGGGTTGGTGGATCTACTGTTCTCAACACTATGGTAGCTTTAATGGCTTTGCTTGTAGACTGTCATTTGTTAACCGTTACCCTCGCCTTTGGTTAGATCAATGTACGATTTGGGAAAATCAGTGGCACATCAGTCTTATCACGTTCTCCAACCTCTCCACCTCCACTCTACTACTTTGATCCATCAGTCCTCAGGTGGTCTGACTCAGCAAAAACCAAACGGTCTTCTGCATTGATTATGAGTACATTTATCTTGCATTCGAATTTTTGGTTGATGTTGGAGCATCGGCGCACATATATATAACAACTTGATCACCTTCGATGCAGAGGCCACTATTTCGGCCATTCGCAGCCATTTACTGTGCATTGGAGAAACAATTTTGACATCTACAATGCGATTCCTCGGATCATAAGAGGGATTCCATAGAACTGTCCTGTAAGGTCACAACGACAAGTATAGCGTACCAGGCCACCACCACTGCCTACAGAACTCTGCGAGCAACCTATTGACGATGTGGCTCACTCGGAACCGAATCCATTTATCTACAATTGCCTCAGATTGAACCGGTGCTGTCTCAATAAACGGCTTACCTCTTCTGTCTCCCACCCTTGTCTTCTCATACGGTCGATTTCAGGGCCTTACCCTTTCCCCGCGGTTGTACTTGTTACTCACTGGAAGATGCGCATTAATAACGCACAGTGCCATTAAGTTATTTGCTAACCCATTAGGCCGTTTACACTACAGTTCGCTTACTTGTGAATCATTCACAACCTACGTGGTGTTCCGGACAAAGTCGCCCGTTCTCCCACGATCTCGTATCCTTTCCTTTGGCCATCTCATAGCATGTGTGTGGTTAGTTCCTGTTTCCTTGCACTAGTCCCGCGCCCCCAGAAGCACGCTACCACCAGTTGGATTCACCTCGTGCAACATTTCATGCATTGGCCGGCATACTCGTGCGTACGCGACTGTTACCCGATGTCTGTGACCATCTCAGCTTAATCGATACCTACGGTGGTGAATGTTTGCATCCATCTACGACTGAAAGGCCATTTTCCACTCAATCTTGAAATATTTGTGTAATTAGAATGCCGAGCATTCTTCTGTTTACCGAATCGCAATAAGCTCAGCAGCTCCCTTGTGGGAGTTTCACGTTATTTCGCTTGTCACTAAACTTTCACCTTCTGAATTTCATCTGTTTGTTTTTGCTAAATCCCACATAGATGTTGTTACATTTGTTTGAGTATCAAAACAAAATAGGCCGATGCGCCTCTACTTTTCATTGTTATTTTGGTTTCCGAGCGCCCGATTCAAGGATCGTCTGAATTGGAGTCTATGACGCCGGGCACCCCGGCAGTGTTGGTCTTGGGCACGAGTCTGATCCTCTTCCTTCCTTTTGGTTGTTTCTGTGTTTGCATTCTGACAGGCGTGTTTAACTATTTTGGTGTGTTGCCTGATACTTATTCTGTATGAGAATTAAATGCTGTTCGTCGTAGCATTCAGTTATCGCAAATTTGTATGCACCCACCAATTCTGTCATCCTTCTTCACATACACTCAGATGGCCGCCCATTCTTAGCAGGCCATCCTCTGATATGCCTGATGCGGTATACACTATTCCAAACTTAGTAGCGCCCAGATCAAACCTGCGCGGCATTGTCAACTTATCAGCGACCGTAATCGCCCATAACGGCACGTCAGCATTTTGAAGTGATGCTTCCTCACTGTGTTGATTTAGGGGATGAGGATTACTAAGAAGGAGAAGGGACATGACGTAAAATTTGTATGCTTCATGAACCACTCAGGCTTATGGCGCTTGCACATTATCAACAATGCCATTATAGATAGCTAGCTACCGTGCGAAATTAAGCTGATATCTGTGTGGCAACTTTTATGCCTTTCGCTGCCATTATCTCTCAACTAATCCGGCGTCTAACGCAATTTAAACAAGCAATTTGATTGGAAACAACGACGAACGCATCACTGGATCAGATTGCTAACCACCTCATGTTATAAACTCCAGTCAGACCCAAGGCGGTCTCCTATACTCCAGTCTAAAAGAGTAATTGAGCCGATACCACTCCCGCCGCCTGTCGATGACCACTACCCGTATACGACCCCAGTATCACAATAATGGGCACCATTTATGATAGGCGGCTATGTCACCTGCACATGCTTTCATCCGTACCGTAGCGACTATACAGACTGGTGAACCTGTACCATACGCACGGTCTGAGCAGAGAAAATACAACGTAACGTCCTGTTACCTGAGCTCTAAGACTCAAATTAAAGATAGTACTCAAGTTACGGATAGGTTTGCCTGCGAGGTGATGACGTCCTCTCGTTAGACGCTATATCCATAGCGTTTGAAACTAGGAGAGGCTAGCTACTGTCAGTGACCGTGCAAGACAAGTGATGCTATATCCCAGTTAGCTTGCAAATTATGTAACCCAGCCAACGTCCCCCATGGCTCAGTAGCTGGCTAGTTGGCATCTGTCTCTAGCGATCATGGGTTGGATCACCATTAGGAGACCGAGGAAATGCGCACCACTGACGAGCCCCAATAGGGCGAAACGCGTTTGGTGGTTTTCCGGACTAGGTTGTGCTATGTAGCTTGTGAACTACTGGGATGAATGCCTCAAAAGCTTGTTACATGTGCCGCTGATGGAATCCATCCCAATCCCACTCCACCATCAAATATCCATCTGTGAATATTTTGTGACATTATCGATCAAAGCCAATCATTACGTATAAACATGATATCCAACTTTATGCATCGGTGGTCAGATTTCTAATTGTGGTTGAACCGTTTGGTGTCTATGAGCGTCTGTCATTTTTAGCGTCTCGTTTACTGTCTCGAGTATATGCTTCGATGCTACATTGTCTTTCAACTGCTCCGTCCATCTTATGTTGTGTTCCTTCTTCCCACAATTCGATCGTCTGAAACAATCGGCCCCGGTATTCAAGCAATCCGCACACACCCATCGCAGTTTTGGCTATTGTTTTTCTTCTTTATGCTCTCTACAATTTCCCCACGAGTTGCAAACTGTCCTGTCAGTTACTTCCGCCACTTTGCACCCCATGGTTCGCGAGGTTTATATCATTTCTATCTGCCTTCGAGGTCGTTCCACCTCGGTATGAACAACCGAACGCCTTGTTGACATGCGTTTCTATTGCATCGTCCGACCACTCACTGAAACACATGTATCGTAACTGATATAGGGTAGGCGGATTAACCCTGATTTAAGGCTGCTATCTACACCAGTCATCGATTTGCCTTTATTAGCGGTAGTGTGGTTTATTTTTGGCTATCATCAACGTGTCCCATGACTGAAAAACTGTGTATGTTTACCGGTTACATCTCACTGAGAACGGACGAAATTCGATAAAAAGTCTACGACAATGTCCCCAGTATCGCTCTCGTCCGGTTCGTTATCTCTTCTCTGTTGGAGCACAGAAAGTATAATAACCGGAAAGTTTACAGCCCCCAGGTTGTGACTGTAATGAGGATTATCCCGACCTGGACTGCACACATCGTGTATCAGTACTGTGATCGCTATATTTAGGTTTCGAACTGTTGTATCCCATGTTCGGGTCCCACACGCCTACTCCAAGTAACAAGGCCTACGTAAACATTTGCTAGTTGCTCTCTTTTGGTTGGTAGCATTAATGGAACCTCATGTGCTTAACTACATTGAAATGTGTTTATTCACAACATCATCACTTTTCAGCGCGCACACAACTTAATTGTGTGGTTACTTTGTACAGTGAACGTACATCCCCTCATTTTTGCCGAACTAACCATGTGGTATGTTTTTGTCTGGTTCACTCTTTTAGCTCTCGGAGCGGCGGGTATCGCGCCGCTCCCCGACTACTGGGCTCACAGTCACATGAAGTTGCAATACCGTAAGTGTTTTGCCCTACTGTTGTCTCACTTGCTATTGTTTCCCCAGTTTTGTTCAACTATTGCCAGACGTATTTTTCCTTCGTCGACGGTAGCGCGAACAATGTCGCCGTCTCCTTTTGATTCTGCCAGCTCGTGTTTTAAATGATGGCTGAAACATTGGATTTGTCATTAAATCCACTTTTTTCGTCTTTCAGGTACACTCTTCCTTATCCGGATCACATGTACTGTCGTCATCACCGCGTTTACAACTGGCACAGTAACGGTTCTATTGCTCCCAACACCACTTTCCGCGCCGTCGGACAGCCATTCGACACACACTACTCCGTTTCGGACGCTCATCTTCACGAATCACTTCAGCCATCACGAAGTCGCCCCTTTACTTATTCGACGCCTGGACAAGTTCATCATCTTAATCATCGTATGCAGACTCACCGTCCCCACTCTGCTGTTTTGAGCATCAACAGCCGGTTGGGACTCGAAACACCTGATCGTGCACTCATCTGTGATCCGAATGATACGGCTGCTTTTATCGACTCGATGGATTCGGTCATGCGAAGAAGCGTCGTGGATGAGCTAGACATAGATTTGCCGCAACACGCACAAGTTTCGTCAACTCACATGTCCCCTTCGTCAGGCCTGAACGATATTAACCTCTACTATACCACCGGTCGGGGAGGGTTAGATGTAATGAGGCCGTCGGTCGATTTGCACCACGTCGCTGATGTTGACGACTCTCTCCAATCGGAGGGAGATGACGATGGTATGAATGGTGATGCTGCCGAATCCCACCCTCGTAATCAGTATTATTACATGATGACTTATCACAACAACGCCAATTGTCACGGCTCACGAGTTCCCTTAGATTCCTCATCCGCACCAAACGATCGACGGATAGATACCAGCTTTTCTCGCAGCCGAGGTTCCAATCGATTGCTGCTTCCTGATGGCATCGACGATCCAAGTGGACTTAGTTCATCAGTTTCTTCTGTACGTGCTCTGGGTGTACCGTCAACAATGATTCGACCTGGTAGCTTGAGTGCGTCTAATTCTTCAATGGCCGTCAATAGCTGCATGGACTCGAACTCTTCTGTTGTTGCAGTGGCCACCGCTTCCTCCCGTGTTGCACAACTGCCACCTCAAAGCATTTCATCCTATCTTCCCGGGCCTGATGAATTCTACACCATCAATGACTCAGACGACCTTGAAATTAATTGGCCACAGGAAACAGTTGCTGGCCTACATGGCTGAGTCAGCTAACCTGTTTCATACGCTCTCTTACCCGGACCACCCTTCATTCTTCCTACTCTGGGCGTGTGCTTCGTTTACACCCCGACGTACGGGTTAAATTTTTAGCCTCCATACAAACAGCCATCGGCTTCACTTCAGGCTCTTTGCTTACGTTGTGACTGTGATCTGGCGTTGTCCGATTTGTTCAGATTTTCTCACTGGATACTTACACATACTTCTCCTTTACATCGTGCCTAGTGTTAACTTTGTTACCGTAGTCAGAGCAATCAAGTTTTCCCTTCCACAGTTCAAATTACGCAACGCTCGTCGCGATTTTTGTACATATCTCCCTCTATGAACGACCCATTCTTTACGGTGTTTATCAACACGTACGCCCATTTCACCCGGTACAGACTTGTACAAAGCGTGTTCACATTCATTTGTTTCTTCTGGGGGAAATTGTTGTACTCAAGTCTACTTTTGTGTTGACATTGTATCCTTGCCTGCTTTTGAGCCTTGCTTTGTATCTTTACACACCGCCCACATGATTCAGTAGTGTAAATAATATATGTATTTACTACGCCATTTTACTAACATCACATTTGAAATTGTTTCTTGGAGTTCCATTTCTTCATCTTGATCGCACTCTTCAAATGTTCGCATACACAAGCAATGAAATTGTCACAGCAGCTATCACAAGTTTCGTGGACAAGTATCCTCGGTCTCCTGTATCGGTGCAAACGCTTGAGTTCTCCATCTGTAATGGGAAAATACGTAAGATGCAGTAGCATGAGGAACTCATTCCTACTTCTCATTTACGCATTGCACTTCAATGACTCACAGATCTCTAGGCCGGTTTCGATCACATTTGAACAGCTCTGCATATTCTAATGATTCATCCAGGCCTATGGAACATGTCACTGAATGAAGCAATTTAGATATTGCGCGCTCTCAACACGGTATCGCACTGATCGTTTCGTCCTTGTTTTGATCCCTCATGTAGGGATAACCCAGATAAGTGCTTTATTATTATTATTAATCTCTATGAACAACGTCTGCTACGATGGTTGGGGATTTATTCTTCGGCTTTATAATACTCACCTTGTGTTTAGATTGTGACGCACATTCCTAATCTGAACCATGGCTTATTGGAGGTAAAGTAGTAGGTCACGGCGATCGCTGGAACATTATCTGAAGTGGACACGTTCTTGGTCATAGAGTGCAGCGTTTGAGGCGACTAACATCGAGAACATACCCACTTCGGATACAGTGCCAGTGATAATAGTTTACTTCCAAGTAACTGGGAATGTGTGTCGCAACCCAGACTGATGGCGAGTACTCCTAAATCTAACAATACGTGTCAGAGTTTCGTACTCTGCAGTCTTTGTATCGTATCTTCTATGTCCTTGTGATGACCCTTATTCCCCGCAACAAGTGGGATGTATCAGGGCAACTCCATCTTCTCTTCTCATTGCAGTCGGTTTCATCCCGAGTGATCATCTCTGCGGGCTTGTCATAGACAGGAGTCCCACCATATGGTATATGGTCGAGCCTGTAGCCCCTATGTGCGGGCGCCGCTGACTAAGCTGGTACGGAGTGCAGGGTACTGTAAACGCTGGTCGATAGCAAGCGACTATCGACGAAGTTGTGAAATCAGCCGCTCGATTTACTTATATATGTTGCTGCGCCACCTATTGTAGTCGGAAACGCGCGGTCTTGTAGACGATAGACTGCCCTCACTGCTGCCTGCGAAGCATTACCCTCACACTTGGTGGAAGCACAGCGCGAGTGCTACTTAGGCTCGCTGGTTAGCGTTTGGAATCAGACCTGATGTCTTATGGCAACTGGATTCGATGTTTTGTCACAGTTTTGCTGAAAATAACCCTGGCTGTTCATGTCTCGTCGAGTAGGCCTTTCTGATTGTACAGAGGTGTCACACATCCGTTAGTTAGAGTGACTCGCACTTGCACATCGATAACAGATCGATGACCAACACCGTGAAATTGCTCTCGACACAACATACTAAGGAACTCACCTCGTTTGTGGGTCACATGTTTGCAGCCCAGTTGACAAACTCTGCGAACACATTAAAACCGGGACTCGTTAGTTCCATTTGGGCACCACTATGTGTCTGTCCCACGTCCGAAGCATCATTGAGGATGTTGTATACCTAATGATATGTCCCACCGTGTATATTAGGGTTGCTTGCATTCTCCGGGTTCGCTCTAACCACCTTTTCGAGACCACCAAGTCGTTGTTTGGGGTGGGGGGAGGGGTTGCCGTTTAACTGCAGTCACTATTGTTCGCGTACACTGCCTACTTCGGTTTATTTTTGTGGTGTGCTCAGGACTCTACGCGTTTCTGAATAACCTACCACCCGATTTTTGATACCCTTGCTGTGAAAGTGTGGTACTATTTCCATCTTGTCGTGTTGACTACTATGTCACACCACGCTTGGCTACAGTGCTTTCACACGTTGCACCATCGTCATTGCTCCCATAGACACCCACTCCCTTTGGTTCTGCGGAGAGTGTGCAAAACAGTTATTCCACTCTGACGTCCGCTTTTTCAGTTTTTACTTTATACGACCTGCTTCGTGAATAGAGTTCATCGAGTAGCTGGGCACCTTCCAAAGTGACTTGGATAGTTGTTCGAATACGGTGGATTGGATCATCGACTTGTGGCGACTCGTCACTAGGCGGTCCTACCCACTTTTGTTCAAGATGTTAATGCACAACAGAGATGCGAAGCTATTGTCATTTAACAGACGCTGCTGATAGGAGTTGGATCGTCCAGTGTTGTGTGCACCAAAACAACTGGAGCAGTAAGTTAGTTGGCTTATCTCGATCATGATTGCTCAACATAGAGCCGTCGCTATACAAGCTTATCATCTGTCTCGCCAAAACATTTTCCGATAACTTTACGGATTGGTCAGCCTTTTGACCCGTAATTCTGAGTTGGAACACGTTTCTTCATCAATAAGACTACTTTCTTAAACCCTCTGATCGGAGCAGATTTTCGAACGTGGTGTATGGAGAGTTACAGTGAGCAGTCCCTGGCGGTTCTTAACTGCGGCTCCTACCTTGTGCGCTTTTCCAAACAAACCGAAGTTTTCTGAGCAGGACATCAAACCTGCATCGTCCTCTCCCCGTGGTGCGCACATCTCGTCTTACAGTATCGGCCACGGTTCGGAGCGAATGGCACATTAGCGCCACTCTACTCACCAAGGTTAGTGCCAGATTAGCAGCGCGCATGCTGTGTACCGCACGCGTTTTTACTCTGCGCATCTGTCGCTTCACTGGCTTAGAGCCTTATCTGGACGCCTATGTCTATCGTGCGTCATTCACGTTATGTTTTGACCGTCAGTTTTATCTTGTAAATAGTAATAGTAATAAATGTGTCAGCTGTACTCCGTGCCGGCGCTTCGCTGCAGTGCGACCACCACTAGTCGCACGCAGGCTGTGTATACCGCGAGGACGCCCACCCCTACGTGGATTCGAACCCGCGCCGCAAGATTACTAGATAAGCTCGTTATCTCTAGACTACGGGCCGACATTTTTACGGCTTGATTGGTTGGACTATCGATCGTTTTGTTTTAAATCGTGTATGCTTGAATTGCTTAGTCGGTTGTGTGACTGCTTGGACTTCAGTTGACTGTTGCCTGCATTTGGTTCAGTTTGACGTCCGATTTTGATTTGAGAACGGAGCCATTGTACGTTTTTTGGTGGATATTGTCGTGGTCAGTATATAATTCGTTGCCCTAACCCTCTGTAAAACCAGCACCGTAGCGCACTTCTGGCCTTGAATTCCGATTTGATCCGGGAGTCTTACGCGTTGCTTGCATCCACCGCCGATTTAACGGTAATAGTGCTCGACAATATTCGCTACAAAATCTAAATGGATCTGCCTGTAGGGCTCTGGCGGCGTCATCTGGACCGCGGTGCTATGTTCGGGTGTTTTTTTACAACCATGTTGCTTGGCCCGTTTTTGTGGTCATGATTTAATCTACCACGTACATCGTAGGAGATAACAGGGGGATAAATGCCTCGTGTGACTTACCGAAGTTTTGACTGTTGAGCATGTCGCTGGAGACGGTGGTTCTTTCCTCGGTCTGTTCGGTCTCGGCTTCCTCGGGTCTGGTACTGCGGAGTTGAGGATCGCGCACGAAAACATGTTTATATGGAAAGTTCTCTTTATCGGTGGTTTGAATGTTATCTCACTTGTGCGATGAACACTTAACATCGACATACCCACTTCTTGCTCACCTTAGCCTGTTCACGCGCGTGGGGCATCACACTTGTTTTCCCCCGTCTCCGCTGACAATTTGTTTTAAAAGCTGATTTTTGAGTATTAATATAGGGGCAACTGCGACCTAACACTTGCCAAGGTGCAGTTTCGAAGTTTCTATGATCTTTAAGACATGAAAAGTAGTCTTGTTTTCCTCTAGTCCAGTTGCTTTCCCCATGAGATGTTACAGATACATCTCTAGCGAACAGCTGATTTCTTCACTGGAGGCGACGTCCTCAGTCAGGTTACTACATCAAGCTGTCCACCACTTGTACCAAATGTTTCGCTATATGTTATGGACAAAACTCCGTAAATATCAAGAAAACCGCCTGAATAACCCGGACTTTCAGAGCACCTGGCTTGGCTTGGCAAGTGACATGCTCTGAGAATAAAAGCTCCTTTGGTTACACTTTTCATTATTTGTAAAGAAAAGCTATCTTTGGTGCATAATTTTATCCAGTCTGTTCGGTGAATGTAGTTTTCAGGTTGCTTTTTATGCCGCAATCACGGTACTGCCTGACGCTTGTCGTCATCGGTTCCCTCTTCCGTCCGGCTGTCATATACGCTAATTTATTCTATTTTTGTATTCTCATCACTAGCCATAACGTGCAGCTTTTATTACCCATTGAGTACTTATTTGAGGGTTCTGCGCATAGAGAGCTATCTGACCTGAAAGCTCTTTCGTAAAACTATCAGTTATTGACGTGTTAAATCCATCTACGTGGAATTGCAGCCTTCGTGCTCCTCAGATGAGTGAGATAATGTTAAATCTTGGCGCTTTATCCCAGTCACATACGTTTTTCTTCGGATGAACGGTCATTTTCAACATCACAAAAGGATATCGATTATTTGCGTTCCGAATCCAAAGCGCTTTCGACACGCGCATTTGCAGGATGCAGTACTACCTCCTGGGGCTTCGTGGTCAACCAGCAGGAAGAGATTCGTCCCTTTGATTCGTTTGAGCCACCAACGCCTGAAAAAATAAAAAGTGGGTGGGATGGTCACCGCTTTATGTTATCAACCTTCATTCGGGGTGATTTAAGTATTTTGAGGTATCAGCGCCACTTTGCCACGCGGGCCTCTTACACCAGGACTAGATGTTAACATGTTGCAATAGTTTGTTGCCTCGGTGATCTTCGTTCGGTGTCATTTTGGAATATCTCTTTAGCCACAGGGTAAATCATTTGCTAGTCATGCAGACGCATACTTAACATCCCTCCGGAGCTCAGGTAGGATTCGGTAACCCCCTCCCTCTGAAATGAACCATGGGGAGACACATCAGTTGACGGGCCATTGGCTCAAACTAATTTGCCTAGAGCGCAAGCGCTCTTGCTCGTTTCTGATGACGGGGAGCACAACTGATAGTCAATGTTTTGGTACCGGTAGCCTGAGAAAGATTAACTTTTGTCAGTAAATTGAATCGGATCGCAGATGTAATCTGATGATTACATTGTTCTAATCCTTCTTGAGTGGCTTGTCGGCCTGAAGCAGACCTGATATGATTCTACAATGATATGCAAACCTGAGTCCGGATGTACGCCAAGCAGACTTCCGCTTACACCATTTCTTTATGTTATGTGCTATCGAGTCAGATATTGGGCTTTAGAACCCTCGCACTAAACCCTCTTCTCGCATTGGGTCGTCAAAAGCATCATCCGCTCACCGTTGCTAGCATTCTGTTTCGTTTCCTGTCACTTGTCGGCCTCCTTTTTCTAGAGTAACCAGCGAGAAACCACCATTCCTTCAACTCAAATCGGGTTGTACTTGAAAGAAGAGGTAGGCTTCAGCAGTACCGACGCTTCGCTACCAAGAACTACCACCGGTTGCACTTGGGCTGAGGATACTGCGGGGCTAGCTTGGTCTCTACCTAGTCTCGAACCCGCGCCCTCAGATTACACGGCAGGGTTGTGATCCTTAAGGCTACGGGCCAGCTGTGTACTTATACGCATGGTCATCACTCTATGTTCATCCTGTTATTGTTAGCACTTTGAGTCTAACCGACCACTGCTCTCCTCAAGAGCCTGGAATGTGTTGTCTCCGAAACACGCACACTGGAAGGTAACACTTTGATACATCTCCGACTTTGACTACCACTACATTTTTTCATAGAACTGTCCACGCGATCCACTACGGTGTCGTAGTTGACGTGAGCTGAAATACCTGAATGAATTCAGGTAAATGACCTAGTGAGTCACTGGGTATCATCAGAATTCGCTTTCCCGAAATAGGCTTTGGCCCGAAATTCATTAAAGACGAATTCCATCGGTCAGTCTTACTGGCGCTGGTGAGAACTGGGCCGCTCGACGATACCTAGAATACAGTTTCTTTGTGAAATCGGTGCTCATCGTACGGACAACGGCACCCGCTTTCTCAAATTGGTTTCAAACCACAATCCTAACAAAAGCGCTTCCCTCTGCTCACCGAATGATACTTTGTCCAAATTGAATGAACCCCCAAGGTTCCTTGCAGCTAGACTGGACGTTTACGCGGTGCGGTGGCTTGTGCGTCTCCCTGCTTCATTGAGTCGCACTTTCTGAACGCCACTCAGGCTGGTCCAATCGCTAGAGGCCTAAAAACAGGCTTAGCATTCTCCTCAGTCGAGATTGTGGAGGTCAATGGTCCTCCGCCTTCATAACTTAGTCAGGGGAAGCAGCAGTTACTAGTCATTTGCGCTGCTCGATTGGCGAACAGCACGTTCGCCACGGGCTCTCTGACGATGCGAGACCAGCACGTTTTCGCAATAGTTTGTCGCCGCCTAATTCATGTCAGTCAGCTCCTGGTCCATGTGGTTCAAAAATGCTAACTCCCCCTCGGTCATCGGTGGCCGTTGATGAGTCGAAAAATGTGCTTTGTTTAAACTCCCCTGCATGTGTCAGACTACAAGTGAATCAGCGTCGGACTCAGCAGCCGCACTTCGTAGTTGCACTCTACTCCTGCTACCTTGTAAGTTGGACTAATGAGTCAAAGGCACCAGGTGGAATCCCTCAAGCGAATTTTCATTTGACCCACTGCCTCGGGGGTTCGAACGTTGAATTAAAGGCCAGCAGTAGCTGCCCTAGAGCAAACCCGCTCTCTGGGAATGGGCGGCACGCGAGTATTGTCTGTCCACCGGTAAACTTAGCTGCACCCCCAGGTGATTTCGGTGATGTGACGGGAGTACAAGATCAGAATGATCAGGTCGGTGGTCCTATTTCCTTACTAGCTGCATCAGCGGTTGGGGACCTTATCTGGCACCATTCAGTCACGATAACTGGGGCGTTTTCACTCGCATTTCTTATTGCTTCATTCAGCCCTTTTTTCCTGACCTAAACTAGTCTCTCGGTATTTTCATTACCTCTTCTCCACCATCGCTTTTTCCCCCGTCTCATTCATCATTTTGCACCTAAATCCATCTAGCTTGATGGTCGGATCGTCCATTGAATAACTGCATTGTTAGCAAGTCTGGGATTCGGACACGGAATCTTATCGTCGCTCATCTTTTGACGTGGCTGATACGTCACCGGACTACGGGAGCATCACTTGCAACATATCCGTTCCATGTTGCGTTGTGAATCCTAGTTATGACCCATGCAAGCCGACTACGTAACCCGAAACCAGCTCAACCACGTGTCAAAATCGCTGCTTCGCTTGCAAAACGCTCAAACCAGTGATCATATCTCACCCACCTAACTTTTCCATTACAATCTGTGGGCAGATAAGCGCCTTTTAGAAAGTCGCAATAGGTAAAATACCTGTTTGACGAAGCAGTGCAACCTCGCCCTACTTGTCGGATCGAACTCGTTTGAAGCGTCTGAATAAATAGTTGCCATCGGCTAGTAACGCATCCGAGGCTCGTGTCGGCTCAATGCATCCTAAACTATTGCGTTCAGCGTCCCTTGCTACTCTACGCTTCTTTGATTGTCTTGCGGCCCATAACTTTCGATGCTTGTGCTCAAAGAATCCTACAAGTCACGGACAGCCCAAACCAACATGCATAACCACTGCTGGAGACACTTTTAAGTGCAGGAAAGAGTGCATTGCGATTTTCGTCCATCAGGTTGTTGATGAATTACGACTCGCTGTGGGTGCGAACAAGACGTCATTATCACCGTTTTTCTGGCCACCTGATCGTGTCTCGTTGTGATAAGTTTGAGTCTCCCCTTTGTGCAATCTTTCCGAAGAGACCACTGTTTAGTGTTGACCACAGCGTTTGCCCACGGGACACTGTCATACCTTACGCCCTTTTAAGGCCACTGCACTCGAATCTGGCATAGTCAGTTGTGGTACTATGGTATTATCGACGGTCGGGACGTCTTTCGTATGAAGACGAGTGCTGATTAAATCGGGCAAATGGCGTGCACCGACTTCCAGCCTCCGACGAGTGTACCTGAGAAAAACCGCCCCTTATAAATTCGTGAAGATATTTGTAGTTCGAGATGCGGGTGAGGGTATTCGGGTGCTCCCCAAACTGGGGGATTTGCTTGCAGACGTTTCCTCGTCAGGCTAGATGACATCCTCCATGCGATTTATGCGGGCACTTTCCAGATCCAAATGATTATTGATCAGCTACTGGTTCGAACGTCTGGTGACAATATTAGATACGCAGCGATGAACTCAAACGTTGTGTATCGAAAACTACGAGTCATTTCTTCAACCAGTTGCTTTCGCTGTTACAATTGGAATTTTTCAGGTGCGTCATACACCCGTTATGTGAGCGTTTACTCCATTGCACCTTATATGCAAACGCGGGATTGGGTTGAAAGGGACCACGCGGTGGTCGTATTATACTTGGATGCTGCACGTGAAACGTCTGGTCGCCGTTGATTCCATGCATGTTCTTGCCTGGGGACCCATTTACAAGAAGTTTTTGGGACTAGATATCGTGTGCGACCGGATTCACTAGAAGCGCTTCGTGCATAATAGCCTGGATTCTCATAGTGTTACAGCCGTTGAAATCGGCGGAATGAAGGAAGATATCAGCCTATGAAAAGGGGAGATGTTCGGTTGCCTCTTCATGGTACTGGCACCTTACAACACCCTGCATTTCCATGGCTTTTGATGGCTCTTTATATTTAGACCTTGCTCCCCGCACATATATAAAATATATATACCAAAGCTGATCAGCTATCTGTTTTACGCAGGTTCAGTTAATTGGTGATAGATGCCGTTAATCCGCTTCGAAGCTCAATGATTCTCGGAAATATCTCTTAAATATGATGGTCTCTTACGAACCTGCCCTCACAAGGTATCAGCATGGTTGTAAGCGCTGGGAGATGTTCACCAGTTATGAGATTCAGGTCGAAATGTTAAGGTTTACACAATGTATTGTCAAACTTACCTGGTACCGCACTCATGGCAATATTCTCCCGTTGTTTCATACGTTCCCTCGGACGGTCCTGCCTTCTTTTGTGAATCCACCCGTCCATTGGACTGATCCGTCGAGGTTGACGGAGCCTCGAACCCGTGAATCACAATCTGATGCATCATGTAACGCTCGGTGCACGATGTGAGCGGCTGTTTGCAGTCATCTATCTTACTGATCAAATGAGGCATTCTTTCACGCACAATTTCACACACAGCTTCGCATGCATGTCGTTCTGTAAAACTGCTGGTCGCGGAACCCGATCTACACCTTTGTTGTACCGATATCTGGACGCAGTTTAGCAAACTTCCCGGCACTATGGTCACATTTTGCACAGTGCCATAAGTTTCATTCGCGTCATCTGGGTCTGTATCGCTTGGTTCTTGTCCGAAATGGACCAGCATTCCCTGGTCGCGGCGACAGGCCTCAATGGTTGTCAGCGCCCGAAGCTGCGCCTCGTAGGGATCTTGATCCATTTTACCAAACATATCGTCCATCGGTGCTTCCATTAACTCTGGCTCGGAACTCGACGAACCGGTGGAAGCGATATCGGCCTTGGGCTCTGCCCCAATGGACTCCGTATCAATATCTAGGGGCGGGAGAGCGGGAATTCTCAGTGAATCATCGCCCTCGCCTCCATATTGCACAGGTCTCTTCCAGTCCGGATCACTTGTGTCCAGCATGGAGGGCAATGCTTCCAACCCATCACTCGTCGTATGAAACGGACTGCTTTCATAAGCAACGAAAGGTCCTTTCAAATGGTCTTCTTGTTTATTCAGCTCAAGAAACTTGCTTTCTCCGTGTCTTTTAGCAGCACCGGCAGTCTCACTCTGATGCCCCCATTCTGTCGTTAAATAAAAGAAACACAACACGCTCAGCTGGGTTAATTGAGCAAATGTTTACTGAGTTAAATACCCATTGATATGGGCCACAACTACTTTACTTAATTTCATTAGTCCCAATCGTTTCCACGTTTTTACATAGTATAAATCAATGCGTGAGTATTAAATAGAACAAAACCCCAGGCAGGATCGATTGATTTACCTGGCGTGAATTACCTGTCCGATGCAAGTAACTGGGTAGACTGGCCGCTTTCCGTTGGATCACATTGGTTGGCTGTTTATTACTAATGTACAGAACATGGAGCAAATGGAATCAGAGATTCTCTTATTTTGTCGGGGATGGTAATCCCTGGTGATTGCAATGACAAAGCTTTGCTTTACTGTATATCAGACCTCGGCCCAGTCTCAAAGCTGCGATTGTCGGCTCCCGGCCTCCCTGTCACAGGCTCTGCTTTCAGGGTCACGTTGACATATGGCGAATGAGATTAGTCCGTCAACCATTAATAAACAAAATTTATACAACTCCATCGGAATTCGGTCGAAAACGTTAAGAACAATCCATTGTTTGTCATAAGGTCATTTATTCCTCGTGTTTTCGCGTGAAATTGTAAAAGTATATGTATCAAAAATTAGAGAAATCACACACGTATGGCGTCACAGTTGACGTGGAAACATCCGCGGCATATGCGTCTAGAAATGTTTTCGTTTGTGGCACGCAGTTCGTTTTAACTGTGCTTCCATTTGCAACTGATCGCTTGAGACAGCTCATGGACGACTCGCTTCAAGTCCGGTGATAAAATCTCTCATCGGTGTCCACATGTGCTGTTTTGTGTTCGTATGTAAAGAGAAGTTACAACAAATCATGATGAACTCGACTCGCACCTGACGATAGGACAAGTTGTATAGCCCACAGTCTCTCAGACCGGTCTTGGTGCGGTGAACTCCCAAAGCCTGGCAGTGACATTTTGCACCCGTCCGATTTTATGTTTCTCACCTCAAGTGATCGGACTTCAGACAGGCGAACCGTACTCTAGCATTGGCCTCCTGATGGAAGAGAAAACGTTAGTGTCCACTTCCTCAGTGCAAGTACGGGCGTTGCGTTTGAGCGCTTGTGACAAATGCATTCAAACACGATAATCTTCCGTGTTGTCTACGGACTTCAAATCGCAGCGTGGGAGTACGCTTAGGTACTTGACAGAAGGTGCACAGTTTAGTGCTTTATCATTCGTCGTGTGAGTCCGGTCATCAGCACCCTTCCCTAGGCTCGACTGCCATCTTGACTGGATTGAACGGGAGATGGACTTCTGTTAACCACACGGAGAGCACCGAAGTATCGCTTGAATCCCACCTACAACAAGCCAACGATGAACCTTAGCAGGTTGCGTCGCCATAAATTACAGGTGTCGTGGCTGCATCCCGGATTGTCGTTCGTCCTGGACTACTTGCATCGACTCTGATCGTGCTTTGTTATGCTGTCGATTTTCCATGGGAGGCGTACCATGCGCCCCCCTCGATTGATAACCAAGAAGTTATCTCAGTCCGCGGTCAGACAAGCTTACCAAGATGCCCTGCGTATCGAATTTTTGCTCTCTCGTCCTAAGGATACTGAGCTACAGTGGAATAGAATCTAGGCGTCTATGCACGATGCGGGCGATTCTGCTTACAACACCATACCAACTAGTTATCCGAGAGATCGGTGAACCTGTTGTGATCTAGAAGCAAAGTCCCGGATGGCTCTGAGCCCAATTTAACCAGACGGATTATAAGGCATTTCCGGATTGAAGACTTCTTACTTCAAACCCCTCTCTAATGAGTACTCAGAGAAGTTCATGCAGATCCACATTAGACCCCCGAAGGAAAAGTCACTAGTACAATCTTCGGGAAGCACGGATATTTATTTGTTCATGCCGTTCAAAGACGAGCACCTTGCAAACGATGTTAAACAGAAGCTCAGGTCTGCTCTAACGCGCACCTACGCGACCGTACAGCTGCAACTCGTCCGCACCACACGAAGGACTGTTCCCATCAGAGCATCGTCTCACATCATCTACCAGTTCACGTGCAGTTGCGGTGATACACATAGGCAAGATTGATCGTCGTCTCAAAGGGTAGCTGAACACTTCCCATGTGGCAATCGTTGAGGCGACAAGATGGAGTGGATCAAGCACTGATCAGGGACTCAGCCTTATCTATCTCTAAACACATCTGATGGACGCGATCATTTCCTTCAATGTATTATTTCGCAACAAGAATTCTAAACTGCTGGCAATCCGTGAGGCATTACTGATTAAGAATGAATCGTCTAGTACTCTGCTCCCAGAAATAACTGAGGCAATCAATCAGATTTCCATGGACCTGATTGCGTTATACACGCCAATTTTGTTTTTGCTCATCTATGTCACTAGGCTATCACTCTATAAAACTCCGCGTGTTTCTTACCTTTGTGGCGCTACGACTAAAGAGAGCAGTCGAAATGTTGGCATTTCGTAACCTTCTTCTTCTTCTCAATGCCTCAATGAAATGGATAACTGAGGTGAATCGATTATAGTGCAATATATGAGCAGGGCAATCGCGCCGACTACTAACCACAGGATATTAGCCCAACGCCGGTGGTGACAAAATTGTTGACTTCAGTACTTGTCCGTCGCCTCACTGCGGCCCGGTAATCCTGGATCAGGGAAGAGCAAGCAGGTTTTCGCCCAAGATTCTGCTGTATATACCAACTATTCATACTGCGACAGTTGCTGCAGCATCGCCACATGTAGCGTACACTATCGATAACTATGTTCTAGACTTCTATAGCGCGTTCGACTTAGTCGATCGATCCATTCTGTTGGAAATACTTACATAGAAGAATGATCCCACGAAGTATTCGAGCATTTGCGTGTCCTGTATTCGAACACCACTGGTCGCGTCAGAGTCTACAATGACTTATCGACTAACTTTCCGACAACAAGCGGCCTTCGTCATTTTGTTCACAACAAATTGAGTGTTTCCTTACGGAATCTCACAATCCAGGCGTTGAGGTGCTGTGTGGTGAAAAGCTAGCTGATACTGATCATGCGGACGATATCGTCTTGCTGTTTAACGCCATTGGGGCAGCCCAGACAACCTTGAATAACTTCACTAGAGTGGTCCTATCATTTTGCATGCGCTTCGCACCTTCAACTTGCAGTGCTGTTGTAGGACAACCAGCTACTTGATGACTCGATAGCGAGGAACTTGATCAAATCACTTATCTTGACAGCTTCGTCAGCTAACAGTAGGCATGTAATCATTAAAGTCAGTTCACGTATTGCAAAAGCCAGAACTGCCTTCCTTAGTCCGCAACATATCTAGGGTCAGAAAGAGGTTTCCCCGGTTTAAAAGGCCGTGTTTACGTGGTCACAGTGGGGGCCGTCCTATTTGGTGGTAGTCATACTTGGCCCTTTCGGTCTAACGATCTGAGACACCAAGTCTTTGATCATCACTGTCTTTGGAGCATTGCTGGTGTCGGATGGTGCCAGCTTGTCCGCAATGATGATGTGCGTACCAGGCAGTGATAGCCAAGCTAGTTCCTTAGAACAAGAGATAGAACTGAATGAGTTGCTATGGCTTGGGCAGGGACTACGTATGCTTGGTCACCGCTTACCGATGAGGGCCTTCTTTTGGTTACCGGATGTAGGGTGGCGCAAGGCTCGAGGTGGGTAAAGCCATTTGGCAGCGGGAAACGAAGTCACTGACTACAGAACTTGACGCTATTGGTCCGTCTTATCTTCCAGACTGGAGTCCACGTGACCCCGCCTTGTACTTGGCTGGAGACATTACTGGGCATGGCTTGCAGTCGGCAGCTGTGGCGCCTCTGCTGTCCTCTTGTTGTCGGACTGTGTTTAAAGTGTGTTTGCTGCTGGGTTACCGTATATTACCATGTATAAGCCATGCAATTTTGGACACCTTTTTGTCTGGGGTAGGAAGCAGAGGGGGCTTATACAAAGGTTATGCGCAATTTGAACAAATCCCAAGCAAAACCAACCCAGAAATTCACTGCACACCTATGCCCCCATCTTGCCTTAGCACCATTCGCTAGTGACAGACGGTATCCCAGGCGGGGATTTGAAGTGCCTATAGATAGACACATTATATTTGTGTCGAAAATTCTCAGTATATTGCACAGTTGATTTTCACGCCGGATGACAGCAACAGAAACATACTGATTATATAGAATCGAGCACCAGCACACGCAATAACATTGGACAAAGACATGACGGAACAACACGTATCGGTAGAGTTTGTAGGCTCACATATGCAAATGCTGCACAATGGTATTAAAATGACTCGAATCCTTCGAAACTAGAATCCGAGTCAGAATCTCCGAACAGTTTCTGGTACTGGTCGTCTGTCATTGGTACGTCATAATGAATATCGTCATCTGTGCTGTTAAAATTTTTGTTCTGACTGCTCTAGGCACATAAACTGCGATCATACGCATATTAGGTCACCAGAACTGACTAATAGTAAAGCAACTTTCGCTTGAGCACACTCAAGTGAGAGCAGGTAGTGATGAAGTCAAAATCGTAAGAAACAATTTTGTTTCTCTTTTTGCTGAATTTTTGGGGGGTCGGCTAATATACGGACTTTGGATTTCGGACAGATTTGACGTTGCAAAGTCATACTGTCCGTTTATACACTGATCGGCTTATGGTTGGCGGCATCCGGTTTCGGATTTGTCTGTCACTGTGGCAAGCCACAGGACGCCTGCTACTATTGAGGGACCATGGGTGGCTTGCACAACACCACCGACAGTTCCATCCACACACCTCATATCCAGTGTAAACCCGAAGGAATAATACCCAGAGGCATGTGGATGGGATCCACGTCTTATCAACGGAGCCGGACCACACTTTTTCACGGGCAAACACAAGCACGCTGTATTAGGGAATCAAGCGCACACAAGGCGGTGGCTGGATCGTAGTGCTCTCCGCACTGAGTGCATGGAACCACTTTCAGCCTAGCACGGCCACAA